CGAAGCTCCAATTAATGTTTACTCGGGAACGTGTTTTTATTTCGTGTCTGACGAAACAAAAAAGTACAATTATGACTAGGTGTATTTTTGAATACACCTCGTCTAGATATTATATACAGAATCACCGTTACAACCATCCACCATCTCCACTGCTGAACATAGGCCTCCCCCATAGGTTGCCTCATAGGAGGATGTTTTTTATACAGTAAGGGTGGCTAATGAGCACACAGTCCACCTGATGGTAAGTGGTTGCTGTGGCCCATAGACATCTGCATCTATATAAATTTAATTTTCTAAATTTTCAAAATCTTTATTTATGTATTAATATCATGCAAATAACCACCAACTAAAAACTGCAGTTGCCAGCCCGCTCGCCAAGCGTGGCAACTATGGCAATATTCCCCATGAGCAACGACACAAATAAACGGCCCCCGGTCCCCAGCGGCCTCGCTATTCCTGGCTACGGCGGCGACCATGGTTACGGCGGGGCAGGGGGTGCTAAGAATCTCCGGTGGAGATTTGGTTGCCACCTAAGACGACTTGACCTGGCAAAATATAACGCACGCACCCTGAGGACTGACAAAAAGATCCTGGAGCTGGAAGAAGAGATAGACTGGCGCTGGAATATTATATGATTATCCGAGGTCCGGAAAGCAGACACGGTGATTCTCAAATTCGACAACTTGTTCTATCACCAGGAGGGCGACCATCTGTCCCAAGGAGGTGTTGGATTTATCGTCCACAAGTCTCTCGTTAACAATGTTGTAAAGATTGGGAGTGTGTCGACGAGGGTTGCGTACCCTTGACGTTTTAACAGTGGTAAAGCCACGCGACAGCTTTGCTGTTGCACGTATGGACCGGCTCAAACCGGGGTGGTACCACGACCTCACAGAATACCGGCGTGAAGTGGAAGCTCTGCTTCCGCGTTTCGTCGGGTAAGTGCAGGTAGCCGGAGGCCTAAATCCCCCCCCCCCCCCCCAACAACACACCTGGAGAATCCCTTGTTGAGCATCTACGACCAACTTTCTCCACTCCTGAGCGTGGGTGCTTCTTAGGCTGCCCCGCGAATTCTGGGGGGGGGGCGAACGGAGCAACAAGACCAAGGCGACCCCTGCCACGCTATCCGTGAATTTCTGCAATATGAGGGGACTTCACTCTAACCTAAACGCCATCCACTACCATCTCGAGACGGCGAGGCCGACTTTGCTCTTTCTGACCGAGACGCAGGTGTCCTCTCCAGCTGATGTCTCGTATCTCTCCTACCCGGGGTACAAACTGGAACAGTCCTTTGTGCCTCGGGTTGGAGTTTGCGTTTACGTCAAGAGGACATCTGTTCTCGACGCCTCGGCAGTCTTGAAGGTTCGGACCTGTCCATCCTTTGGCTACACGTAGACAGCAATGACCATCCGCGCGTCTACGGGTGCCTCTATAGGTCCCATAGCGGTACATACCAACTCTTCGACCACGTCCATATTGCTACAGATTCGTTGCTACAGCAGATCCCCTCCGCAGAGATCGTGATCTGCGGCAACTTTAACGTCCATCACGCCTAATGGCTTGGTTCACGTTTAACCGATCATTCGGGGAGATCTGTTCATTATTTTGCCTTGGCATATGGTCTGACACAACTGGTTACTTCGCCCACGCGGATTCCAGATGTGGAAGATCCAAAATCCCAAAAAAGTCCCAAAATCATGGAAGACGGCTTTCGTCCACTAGATCCCTAAAAAAGGCGACTGCTCAGACCCGTCCAACTACCGGCCTATCGCCATCACCTCCTTGTTCTCCAAAACAATGGAGTCCAATGTAAACTGCCAGCTTATGAGGTACCTTGAGGTTCACCAGCTGATTAGTGATCGTCAATACAGTTTTCGCCGTGGTCGATCAGCTGGTGATCTTCTGGTCTACCTAACTCATAGATGGGCTCAGGCAGTAGAGTCCAAGGGGGAGGCATTGGCCGTTAGTTTGGACATTGCGAAGGCCTTCGATCAGGTTTGGCACAAAGCGCTTCTTTCGAAGCTTCCTTCCTATAGGCTTCCCGAGAAATTGTGCGATTGGATCACCAGCTTTCTTGCAGATCGGAGCATCAAGGTCGTTGTAGACGGTGCAAGCTCCGATTGCAAGCCTATTAATGCTGGTGTTCCACAAGGCTGCGTGCTACCGCCAACGCTGTTTCTTCTGCATATCAATGATATGTTGCAAACCCGTAACAATCATTGCTGTGCGGATGACAGCACTGGTGATGCTCTGTACACCGGCCGTGCCAATATTTCTCGGGAAAACGTCTCCGAGTACCGAGATACGAGACTTGTGGATTTCGGTCACGGCGGCCAGCCTCAACGGAGACTAGCTATCGGCGCGGGACAGGATTATAGTGCCCGAGTGTATGCGCAAGCACAGGTGCACTCTCTATTCCATCACTCTCATATTCCGATGAGACGGTAAACCGACATGACCTGAGAGAGATCAGGCGCAGGAGCAGGATCAACAGCTTTACGTGCTTTCCGAAGCGAGTACCCTTGTGCTCTAATCCAAAGACCCGAAACCTTTCAATTCTAGTTACAAAACCGTGCCTAGAAGACTGCAATTCAGTAGATGATATAAATGACAAGCTCGTGGAAACTGTCCATGCAGTCGGAGCTAAGTTCTGCAAGACTCGCCGCAGAAGAACCCAAAAACTCTCCGATCACACTCTTAATCTTATGGCTGTTACACGAGAAATTAAGCTGCAGTCTTCAACAGATTTGACAGTGTACACGCAACTGAACAGACAGGTCTCCAAATGCATGCATACCCTTAATACTTAAAGTCCTTCAGAAGCTCTTCAAGTGATGACTTATGGATCTGAGACACGGTCCTTCACTGCTGACCGTATAAGGATGTTCAAGGTCGCTTAGCGATTATGGAGAGCGCTATACTCGGAGTTTCTCTGCGTGATAAACTTAGAAATGAGAATATACGCAGTAGAACCAGAGTGACCGAAATAGCCCCACGGATTAGTAAGCCGAAGTGGCAATGGGCCAGCCATATAGCTCGAAGAACTGACAACCGATGGGATAAAAAAGGTTCTCCCCACTAAATGGAGTGACGATCTGGTAAGACATGCAGGAAGTCGATGTGCTTTGTGGCATTCTTTGGGGGAAGCTTATATTCAGCAGTGGATTTGTGAAGGGCTGTAATGATGATGAATGATGAAATAACCATCTGAGCTTAATAGAAGCCAGTTATTTCAATTTACGACACACTTCATTTTTATTTATATGTATACATATTATTTAGATTATTATTATTATATTTTTTTATACATAAACACACTAGCAGCTAAAAAAGCTGATGCATGTGTGTCTTAATGTTTAGAGATTTTATCCAATCTGTTCTTGAAGGCATTCAATGTAGGAGCATCAATCACATTTTGTGGTAGCTTATTCCACTTGGTGACAACATGATTTGTTATAAAATTCTTCATAGGATTCCACTTGGCAGTCCTATGGCAAAGTTTAAGTTGATGTCCTCTCAGACGTTTGTTGCTTTTTAGTAAGTACAAATTTGGCAGAGTAGGAACATTGTAATATCCTGTCAGTATTTTGTATGTTTCTATCAGACTACCTCTCTGCCTAAGGCTCTCTAGTGTTGTGAGGTTAAGCTTTCTCATTCGCTGCTCATATGTCATGTTCCGCAGTTGTTTTACCATTTTGTGGCACTCCTTTGAACATTTTCCAGTATTATTATATCTTTACGAAAATACGGGTCCCATATCACATATGCAAACTCCAAAAGAGGTCTTAAGTATGTTCAGTAGATCTTGTTAAATATTTTAGGAGTGAGACACATAAAGCTTCTTCGAATCATATACATCATGGAGTTTACCTTTTGTACTATGTTAAGAATATGAGCTTTCCATTTGAGGTCACTGGTTATTATAATGCCAAGGTCTTTTTGTAATTCAACAGAAGACAATGGGTGATCACCTAGATAATATGTATTTCGTGGATTATTTTTCTCTATATGTAGAATCATACACTTGTCTGCATTCAGTGTTAGGAGCCAATAGGTGTATAAATTTATGTATGTGTTATAAAATATGATGAGCTTTTTAAATTGATTTTCCTACTAAAAACTGAAGGATATGTACAACAATAATATGCCGATCACCAGATGGTAGGCAACTAGTCACCGACATATTCATGGAAGACTTTGAGGAAAAAGCCTTTCTTACTGCTCCTGTAAATCCAAGATTCTACAAGTGTATATATAACACATGTAGTAATATAGATAACACTTTCACATTTTTACCCTTTGACAAAGTAAGTGCATTTTTAGACCACTTCAACTCTATAAACTCTAAAATACAATTCACAATGGAGTTAGAGGAAAACAATTATTTAGCTTTTCTAGAAGTGTTAGTCATCCGAAATCCTGATAACACTGTTGATCACACTGTGTATAGGAAAAAGACCCATACCAAAAAAACTTGTATGGTGAATTTCACCATCAACAAACACAGCTAGCTACAGTGGGAAAATCTTTGTTTCAGAGAGCACAAGGGATCTGTGACAGAAAACATCAGGGCGTCAAGTAAGTATTGCAAGACAACAAGTGTTGCTTTGATACCATGCCTATGTCAGAGTAACTGAGTGAAGCCGACCATAATTGGAGCCGGTGCTTGCCATACTACCTTATGCCAGAAGAATCACATGAGAATAATCAACCATTGACTGTCATAATATAAACATTATCATTGAAAAGAACCATCTAACAAAAGTAACAGTAGCAACTATCATTTGTCTTTGGTTTACAGCAGCCGTTCTCAAACTTTTTTGGTCACGGAACCCTTTTGACAAGCAAAATACTTGACGGAACCCTACAATAAAACAATAGTTTATAAAAGTGTATTCTTTATTATATAAGCATAATAAAAGTACAATGTAACAGTTACTAATTATTACTTACTTTACCACATGGCAAGTACAATAATAGAAGATATTAAAAATTAAAAAATCTTAACTAATGGGAGGTACGAAACTGTTTTTATTTTTCATCAATTGGTTGATATCAGGTTTGATAGAAGACATTTGAAGTCTCATATCAGGTTCGGCGTCCAGTCTATTGCGATATTTTGTTTTCGTGGCTGCATAGGTTGAGAATCCTGTTTCGCACAAATATGTTGTTGGGAACGGGAGAAGAATATTCAGAGCCATTTTGCCAAGCATTGGATATTCATCACGGATTCTGCACCAAAAATCGTTGAGAGGCGTTGTTTTGAACAGTGACTCCATACTTGTGTCTGATAATATTTCTAAAAGAGATTCATATATCTCGTTTGACATACTTTCGGGCTTTTGCAAATTGGGTAAAAAAGGATTATGAATTCATGAATTCAGCTTCATTTTTGTATTCTGTTCTTCGGGAAAATACTTTTTAAAAGATGCGCGCATCGAAGTAAGATATTGGACCAATTCTTCAAACACATCATCTTGAAACATTTCTGAGTCGTTATCGCTAACAAACTCACTGAGTGATGTAAAGCTTTCTATTTCTCTCTTACCAATCAATGCAAATAATCCAAAATTCTCATTTTCTTTTGAATGTAGTTATTTTGTTATAGGCCTGGAACACTGTTGTCTGTTTACCTTGCAATGATAAATTCAATTCGTTCAGTTTTTGAAAGATATCCGCCATAAAAGACAATCGGAACAACCAAGTATTATCATACAAACGGTCTTTCAAATTAAAAGAAACTGTATCTGCTGAAAGAAACATTTGCAACTCGGCTCTAAGTTCAAATAGCCTTGTTAAAGTTTTACCCCGAGACAGCCATCGCAATTCTGTATGGAGCAGCAGTGTTTTATGTTTGCTGCCATAATCTTCACACAATAATGAGAACAATCGGGATTGTAGTGGTCATGATTTGATAAAATTAATTATTTTTATCGCTTCATCCATAACTAATTTTAGATTTGATGGCATTTGCTTCATCGCAAGTGTTTGTCTATGCAGAATACAATGGCTGGAACTACAATTAGGGGCTTTACTTTTTATTCGTGATACTGCTCCTGCTGTTTTACCTGTCATCGCCTTGGCCCCATCTGTACAAATGTCAATGCAATTGTTCCAACTAAGATTATTTTCTTTAAAAAAATATGTTTATTTTATTAACAATTTCTTCCCCGGTAGTGTTTGTGGGCAGCGGTGAACACATAAGCATGTCTTCTTCAAAAGAACGTTCATATGGATATCTCACGATAACCAGCAAGATAGCCAGACCAGTGACATCAGTTGACTCATCCATTTGCAAGGCGACTCGTATTTTTTGTAGACATGCAACTAGTTCTTGTTTGACGTAGCTTGCCAGATCATGGATTCGCCGTGAAACAGTATCGTTTGATAGCGGTACAGTAGAAAGATGCCTTGCAGATTTTTCATCGAGCATATATTTTGTTATGTCTGACACACATGGCTTTATTAAATTCTCAGCGATAGTGTGCGCTTCACCTGCTTGTGCAATGCGATAGCTAACTAAATATGATGCCTCCGTGGCCTTTTCATTGATAGTTTGTGTTACATGTAACATATTTTTTTGACTTTCCAATAAATGTTCTTTTTTATGAACAAAAAATTCTTTATTCTTGTCTTTAGACTCGGAGTGTACAGTTTCTAAATGTCTGCGCAATTTGGCAGGTGCCATGGAACTATTAGGAAGCAGTTTACTACATAACATGCAGAGAGGTGAGCCGTTGGAATCAACAAATCTGAAACTGATATATGATTCATCATACTTCCTTTTTTTCGTCTTTGAAACTGTGGATCTTGACGTCGTGGCATCATCGTCTGGATCGGTAATTGCTGTATTCTCCGCGCGTACTGCTTTTGAACATTCAGCGTCATTAGAAGATATTGTTGCAACACGTTAAACGTTCCATTCTTCTTTATTAATAATGTTACACGTCAGGATGGTGGGGTCAAAATAATGCACAATCGTTACTGCGTTTATGAGACAAAGTTTAGTCCAAAGAAGAAATGTACAAAACTGATACAATCAGAATACAGCAGGCAGTAGAACAATGAACACTAGTTTCATATCACGTTGAAACTCTGCAATTCGCTAGCCAGCTTGTAAGTAGGTAGGTAGAAACTTATCGCTCCGAACGCTAATCTTCAACTGACTGACGAGGCGCGACGCGCGATCGCCGCTTTTATACTTAGTCCTAGACTCGAAATCGAACATTCTCAAAAATACTCGAGTCGGCGCCTTTGATAAACAAAAAGCGGAAATAAAAATAGAAATACAGAAAAATGCGTTTTAAACAATCTCGACTTTATGTTTTTGAAGATAGAGCCGAAAGTCGCTTTTTCACAACTATAGCATCTAATTCAGAGGCGGCTTTTATCAAAGAGACTGTGCACTCACAAGTATACGCGCGGCGGGCGGAGTCAAAACGTTCGACCAGTGACCAGAGAAAGGTGTTTCGATTTTTTTTCTAAATTCATGGGGAACCCCTACAGGGGTATCCAGCGGTACTCTCTCTAGTGTGTTCTAAGTGTGTTCCGCGGAACCCTAGAGAACACACTTAGAGTACCGCTGGTTTACAGTCTAACTGGTCTAACCGCAAAGCAGTACAAAGATTGCATATGGTTCACACTAATTTAAACTCTAAGTAACTAACAGTATAAGAGCTTATTTTACAAACACTGAAGTATAAAGATAAAAAATATATTTGCTTATATTTAGTTCTTTGCTAGCTGTTGTTGTGCCTGTTGATTAATTTTTTGGCTGTTACAATATATTAGTTAGCATTCAGTTAGCTATCTAGCTGAGATGACAATGTCACTGTTATCTGTTATATATGTAATGTTTTGGTAGCAGGTGCTTCATATTATGTGACAAATGTTTTGTTGTTTTTGTTTGTTTTTCGTAAAGTTTTATACTTAAATTGTAAATATTTAGTGTAATATAAATAGGATTTTGCATGTTGTATATAAAAGTGCATAATAATATTGCACCAGTTAAAATCTCAAACAAAATGTACATAACATCAATGAACTTCTAACTACGCCTGAATAAGTTTTTTTTTCTCAAAATGTTTGAAAATATGAGTATATAATTATACAGCTTAACATACATTCAGTACTATGCCTATAAAAAGTAGCAAGGGAAGTTCATTGAATTTAACATACATATTTGAAATGATTCTCTTTTAAAACATGGAACAATCAAAGGATGCTAATACAACTTAAAAATATTTTTTAGTCTTGGTCTGTTTGATATTATAACATCTATCATAATCGTAACAACAACATACAACAAAACGCTAACACAGCCGACAACTGAACTGAACTAACGGGGTGTACAATGTGATATTTGAAACTGTTATAATATATTATAACAGTTTAAAACAACAGTTAGAAAAATATATTACAAAATCTTAACGAATCAGGAAAATATAACCTTTGGTTGCCACGGACTGCAGGTGGACTGTAAGTTCACTTCAATCTTATAAATAAATAAATTTTTGTACTTACATTGTACTGGTCAATAGTGTCGCGATTTCTTTCCGCTTCCTTTAGTAATTCAATAACTTTTTCACCGAACATTTTGTTTTAAATAAAATAAATTCATAAAGCAAGTGGTCCATTCAATTCATGTAAGCACCAATTTCATAGGTTTTATTTAATTTTTTCCCGCTAAAAAGTTAACCGGTTTTGGCAATTTTTTTGTTTGTAATTCCGAAGCCATATGTACATATTCAAATGCTTTTATTTATTGTGTTTCTTTTAGAAATTAGGTATATTAACTAGGCGATGAAATAAAATTTTTAAACAACTGATAAAGTGATAAATAATAAATCTATAACAAAAATTAATCTGATTGACATTTGCTTGACATTAACAGTATCAGTATTTTTTGTACTAAAATTATTGGCTTGGATGCTTGTTGTTTAAGCTATGTATTCATTTATATTATAGGTTTTTTTCTTCACAATATGCTGATGCCTCACATTGCGAAGTTTTTGGGAGATTTTAACGACGAGTCAACCCAGCCGACAGTCGATAACGACAGTCACCCAAGTTTATACGGCGCCCAAGCGATCAAAATAACACGAGACTTAAATTAACATCAAAGCACTTATTTCGTCGTTCTCTCTAAAAGTTCACGAGCGCAGACATCAAACATACATAATATGAAAGATTGAAATTTTTTTTCTTGGATTCACGGGGATTCACGCTTTACTCACAGAAAAATTGTATTGATTCACGTCAAATAAGTCATAGAGCACCACATAAGGGGAGATGCCAAAGCGTTATTTTCCGATAACTACAAACTAATAAGAGTACTAGTGTACCGATAAAAAACTATTTGTCATTTTTTACGGGGAAAAATCTGCGCTATGCAACTTTCTTAGACACTCGCACACAAAAATAATCGTTTGTCACGACGAAACTCACACATAACTGTAAAAATAACACATTAACAATTTCACACAGCCATAGATTATTACTATACTCTTTAAGTTAAGTGTTAAAAAAACTTTCACCACTGAGAGGATAAACCAAAGCACACACATGGGATTCGTACAATTTTGATAGTGGGATATAAGACCTACATCTCACTGACAATAAAACTATGGTCAGTTTTGATGTTCAGTCACTATTCACATGGCTACCTATTGAAGACTGTACCTCATTTGTAACTAGGAAGCTAGAAGACAACAACATGCCTGCAGAATAATAAACCAGATGGATGCCACCATCTGCTTGGGATCCTATGATTAAAGAAATTAAATCCAAACCCAAGCGTTCCACTGCACAGAGTGCCTTTGTATAAACTGAACTGTTCCACTGCAAGACTTCAAGATACTGTAAGCTGATTCTGCGTAGATCGGACCAAAAATTAATATTATAAATTAATAATATAAAAACAGGAGGTAGCCATGCCACCAACCATGACATCGGAAATGTTAAAAGGGATAATATTATTAAAATTAGTTTTAATCAATGTGTAGTGTCCGCGTAAATATAAGAAATCACTATGTAACCTAGATTTGTAATTACTTACTTATCTTCACGCACAATCCCTAACGGGGTAGCCAGAGAGAACAGATCGCCAAGTGTCACGATCCTTACACACCTCTTTCACTTCTTTCAGGTTCATTATCTTCTTCATACATGCACGTCTAGGTATCCGAGTACTTTTGACCTTCCCCTAACCTAGATTAACCTAGATTTGTAATGTTATCATAGTACCCAGAGTTACGAGATATATTTGTTAGAGGACAGAAACCTCGCGTGGAGCAAAAGGGCAAAAGCTGGCTTGATCCAGATATTCAGTACGCATAGGGACTGCAAATACACGGCCTACCGATCCTTTAGTATAAAGAGTTTTTAGCATGAGGTGCCGGAAGAGTTACCACAGGGATAACTGGCTTGTGACGGCCAAGCATTCATAGCGAAATTGCTTTTTGATCCTTCGATATCGGCTCTTCACTCATCGAAAGTGAACGTGAGCCGGGTTTAAACCCACGAGATATATTTATAACAGATATCCTAAAAGTGAAGGAGTCGGAATTAAAATTATGTGCCACTTTCTGCGTATCGCTTAAAATTTGTTTAGCCTAAACATTGTTTGTGCACAACAGTCTTGACGTTTCTCAGTTTTTGTAAAAAAATCATTAGGTCATTAAAACTGTGAATTACTCTTTAATAATAAGTTATTTATTAAACCCATTAAAACAGTTCTTTTGTTTATATTTTACTACCTCTACAGCATTTTACAAGTCCTTAGTTCCTTTACATTACTTAGTTTATATATTGCTCTTATAGCAAACGTTTTACATATAAGAGAGAAAGAAACAAATGTTAGATAATCATTATTATTATTATAGTTATAGTATTATAGTACATTTATTATATTGTACTAGTATAGTTGTCATATATTCTGTCATCGAGGAGAAATTATTTTAATATAAAATTATGTTATCATCATAATTTCTGTGTGTGATACGATGACAAAATAACTATATATTCTATTCTATTCAAATCTATTCCTCTCTAATTCTCTGTTCATTTTATTCTTGAATCTAAATTTATCCCAGAAGTCAAAATAGGTATTAATATTAAACGCTAGCGATGCACACATATGTATAACTCTAAAAAAATTAACAAAAATCTTATATTTACGGACGAAGCCACCATCAAGTTATCTATAGCTCTGGCAACACTAACAACTAACAAGTATTTTCTGAACTTGGGCAGCACTGATGACAGGACAAGTTATTTCACATTCATATTTTGTTTCATTTTCATTTCATTGCGCACTTAAATTCATTGCGCACGCGATTTTAAAACGACGAGGTTGTTTTCCCACTGTGTTTTTAAAACATGTTTTCGTGCCATTATCAAGTGTAGATACCTATTTTGATTTCGGTTTAAAGTAATTTACAGTGATTAATTATTACAAAAATGAGTGCCAAAAAGGAAACGAAAATTCATGAGGACAAAAACACAGATTCAGGTTATCTATCTGGACCTCTTAGTGAACAGCTGTCAGGAGTTTTAGATGTAGGAATCAGTAGTGATAGCGGAAAAGTGAGTGCTTTTGTGGATGAACAGTTAGATAGTGGCTTGGACCTTTCAGAATGTTTGTCGAATGTAAAGATTAGTGAAACAACTGACACGCAGCTGCCGAGG